TTCTGTGAGGCAAAGGAGAAATGGTTTTAGGTTGGTTTTGGAAGACGCAAACAGGTTTTTAGGAAACTATTTAGAAGTGTATCTCACCACAGCTGGAATCAGAGTACTCTGAGTGCATCTCAGACATTTCCTCGGCCAGACGCGAGGCGGATGTGTTGGGACAGACGTCAGAGTGCTGTGGAGACTGGGAGCCACAGGACGAGCATTTTAAATGGCTCGTATAGCGCGAAGAGTGGCTGTCGCTGTTCCTCTGCGATCCCTCTAGAGTTCTGCTGAGGAAAACGGCACATTTTAGGTCTGCAGAGGAATTCACTCAAATTTTTATAGGATATTGAATGAATTTCACACATTTCTGCTAAGAGGTAAATCCTCTGTGTGCTTTAAGAGGATTGGAATGGATGAAGAAAAATTCAATCTGGCTTTGTGGAGGTGGTGGGTGGAGAACCGTTCCACAAAATACTCACAAACCTGCAGTTCTGAACTTTATTGCATTGGGAAACAAGATCTTCTAATCGGTTTCTGTACACCGAGGATGACACCTTTTTGGCTGTTTAAGGGAGTCAGATTTCCTTTGGAAAAACTCACCTGTTGATGATGTTGTTGAGGCGACTGGCCTGAGGCACAGTGAAATCCTCGCCTTGCTCGCTGATCTTTGTTGTCGCCTTAGAGTCGGGATGTTCAGAATCGACATGGTGAAGAAAAGCAGACAAGCCCGGCCTCTGCGGGGAGTGCATTCCAGGGTCACGAGGACTGGTCTCCTCCTCCTTGGAGCTCTGATTGAGAACAATGAATTTGTATTTCTTCCAGTTACGAGCTTTAGGGTCTTGAGTACCTTGAGAGGTTGGAGGTTGCGAGGCCTGCGTGAGGGCAGCATTTTTGCTGCTGCTCGATTCTGTTGGGGAATTAGGCTGGCAGTCTGATTTGAGGGGGCTCTGAGGGCTGCTCATCAAGGTTTTGCGTCCATTAGAGGATATACCCATGGAGTAGTGTTGGTGGCTCAAATGTTCCTCTGCCAGGGAACTTTGCTCTTTCCCAGTCTCCCTCTGCTGCTCCTGGGCCAGGCTGGTGAAGCTGTGCTTTCTGGAGCTCATCCCAATCGAATGGACCACTCCCTCCAAGGTCTCCCGCTTCATTTCCTCATCTCTTCCCAGCTCTCTCGAGGAGTATGAGCCGGCATGGCAAGCGGTTGAGCTCCC